CGTAGCGTCTTAACTCTTAGCAAGAAAAAGATTGGTGGTTTTATGTCATTTTTTTTTTTTTCAAGATGACAAGGTGGCGCCGGTGAACACCGCTTCGCTAACGAAGGCTGTTTATTTCAATTAGCCTCAGATGTTGAGTGATTAAGGTTCTGTTGAAGGAATTCTAATCCCAAACATCCAACTCTAAATAGCCTCGCCCTGGAGCAACAGGCGTTCAACCCTCATCACAACAGCTCTCCCAAAGAGGAGGCAGTTCCTGTGGTGCGTTCAAAGGCTTTTACTGTACATACTGAAGCTCACCCACAGCAGGATTACCTATTATACGTGGATCATTTCCATAGTTACAGTCCATTGTGGCGTGTTCTGTTCTGCTCATGGCAGCCGTCACGTTGATAAATTTAGCTCTTTGACTGCAGACTCGTACACGGCACGCTCAACACGCTTCTTTTATTACCAACGGAAAAATGTTCTACTGTCAACAAAGGACAAATGCACTCATTATGGTTCTGTCGGCTTAGTGGAAAGGCAGTGGTGTGTTTATGGATCTGTACGTTACAAATGCTGTAATCCCACTCTACACGGCCCGTCCTAATCCAACCTGATACCTGCTGCGTTTAGTCCCTGCAGTTAATTAAATCTTAGGTTTTCATTAGTAACGACCACAAAAAAAAAGAAAACTATTATCAAAACTATTTCGCCCCCATCGCGCTCTGGATGTTAACTCTTTTATTATTTTGCGTCCGGCATCCAAACTTTCCCACGCTAAACTTACGAACGTTGCATCAATTGAAGCCGGTTTTTTAATTCTTCTTTGAAATATCAAAATGTACCAAAAATTCTGATTTTTAGTCAGTCATTTGTATATAATTAATAATTAATTCAGTGGGAATGCATATTGGTATATTTAATTTATTTTTAAAAATTGATATATTTTTATTTTTTTATGCAATATATATTATATTATATATATATATTTCATTTGTTTTTTATTTTATTTTTAAAATGTTATCTGTCAGACTTTGGTAAATTGGAAGGTGCTCGATTCTGTGGCCAGGTGTGGTGACACCTTGTGGCCTGGAGGGTACTTTTTGAATGAATAGTATAGTATACTGTGACACTCACACTCACCATCAGCTGTTTCATGGAGTTGTGTTCTTCGCTCTCTCGCGCTGCGTTGTGGTCCTTGTGCACAATCTCCACCCGGATGTCGTTTTTCGCTGACACCACGCCTTTCAGATCTGGCAGAAACAGATGACGTGTATTTTTGAATAAGCCTGGATACAAAACAACCTGGATTTGTTGACATTCTCATCCCCCCAGTGCAGTGAGCAGCATTACAGAATTTAGTAAAAAAAAAAGATCTTGTGGTTGGGGCTGTGAGAGCTCCCCCACCTCCCAAACAATTCAAGGCATTATTAATCGTTTGTCTCCTGCCAAGACAGGATTAACTTTCTCTGCATTCATAAGCCACATCTACCAGCCTTTGATGGCGGCCGCATGTCTCTGGGGACAAAGCTGATGATACTATCACATAACAAAGTCTTACTTTCTGTCTTAATTTTGCTTGCTTCTCTCTGGTGAGCACAGATGGAGACGGGCAGTGAGGGCATAACCAGGTGCGCTTCCTCTGTGGTATACAGACAATAGACATGCTGAGGGGACCATTAGCACAGTTGGGTTCATGAAGTGAGACGGGGGACTAAATGGGTGGGTGGGTTGGTTGGATGGGTCGGATGACGATGTTGTATAGATCGACTGCAGCCAGACTGAGATTGCATGAAATGAATGCTTTTCAGCATCTCTACCACCAAAGATGTCCGTCACAACAGCAGGAGTCGACGGTTGTTGCTGGTCGGTTTTTTAAGTTTTCACTCAGTTTTTCTGGTGACAGAAAGCAGCAACAGCAACAACAACAGTCCAGTCCGTTGTGTTTTTTTGAACATTACCTTCGGTGGAGAGATGTTCTACAGTTGAAGTGATGGACATGTTTCAGGAGGTTGGGAACCCAACACTGAATTTTTTTTTTTTTTTCATACGAGCGTCAGTAGTAGACGACGTGTACCAGGTGACAATACGTACTTCTCTGGGAGCGGGTGCAGCAGAACGCTCCGATGGTTCCCATCAGCACGATAAAGGCCACGAACGCTCCGACGGCTATGCCGATGATCACGGCCACGGGGAGAGATTCTGCGTGGAGACAACAGACACCGTTGTTATGATAAGAAACCAAATAACCAAAATCAATGACATGAGCTTTTATGACAGACCAGACGACAAATGATTGACACCTGTGATTGGACGAGGGCGACGTTATTCTATTTATTGTTCAACTCAAGTCAGAGAGTATTAGGTCAGCGATTTGGTCGAGCATAAATCTGAACTAATTTTTAAGGCGTAGATACAAAGAGTCTGTGTCTGTGACCGAGACAAATTAGGTCCAGATCTGTAGCCACCGTTACACATTTCATAAAGAAAAATCCACTATTTTCCCACCAAATATAAATACAAAATTCCATAATTTTATGTTTTTTCATCACTCTCTAAAGTCCAACATTTTTATATATAAAAAACAGAAAAGAAATAGAGAATAATAACACTCCGGAAGTTAATTTTTTTCCGTAAGATAACGTAGTTCATGCAGGTAAAAATAAGTTTAATTAAACCAGGCTCAGGTTTATTAACTAGTGCTTTGAAAAAAAAAAGACAAATTATTATTAGAATTTATGAGCGTTAAAGGTACAGTCCGTAGTTCTTTATTATGATGTACTTCGCTCCCGGCTTCTTCGTAGACAATAAATACACCTTAGTAAAATGATACCACGTGATACATCCTTATTACATTTAGATTCCATATAGTAAATACTAATTAACGAAGCTTTTGTCGTCTTCGCCGGAGAAACCTTTTCCTGCTTCCATCATCTCATTATCCAACTGTCCAATGTTGTTTTTTTTTTTTACTACCAAACGCTCATTGAGACAAATAGGAGTGTTTCACTGAGGCCCTTTATTTACAGTGAGTGGTGTGTGTGTGTGTGTGTGTGAGAGTGTGTGTGTGTGTGTGTGAGTGTGTAGCACACACAGAGCATAATTATGTTTGTGTTTCTGCCATAAATGTTGCAGTGCATTTGCAACCAGGACGAGATTAAACCTGCAGGCACACACACACGCACACACACACTTACACACACACACACACACAGTTCCATACGCTGCTGCAACATTAAAAAGTCCTCATTAAGCGTGTTATAACGAGGGCCTGATTTACCAGCCCACATTTATGACCCGCTCACATTTTAAACCAAATGTAAACCAAGTGAGCGCTCTTTCTGCTCCTCAGCTGAAACATTGATCAACGATTGATCAGCGTCACTGCCACATCAGCTGATTATAATTCATCATTAGCAATGAGTAGATGGGCGGGGGCGG